CTTACAGCTCTGATACCATGTGAATAAACCCTAGTTGATTCTAGGTCAAAGTAGAGAAGAAGGAAGAAGAAAGAAAAGAGAAAGAAGAAGAAGAGTGTTCGGCCAGACTAGAAGAGAGAATGTGAAAAATCACTCTCCTAGCCGACCCACTTGACTGGCAAGTACAGTTCGACATTCCAGCATCTCTTCTTCTTCTCTTTTCTACTACTTCGGCTACAGTAGTTCAGCTTTCACCCCTCTTTGATCTTGCTACTTCAATTAATGTACTTAAGATCACCAAGGTCCTTGTTTTCAAATTTAGCGGCAAGAAAGGATTTCAGCTGAGAGATTCCGGAGATGCCATCTCCGGTCAAAACAATATCATCTACATATACTATCAGCATAGTCATCCGACCATCATGCCTTCTTATGAACAAAGTATGATCGACTTAAGTTTGAGAAAACTCGAACATCAATATCGCTCTTCTAAATCTATCAAACTAAGCTTTGGGGGATTGTTTGAGTCCATATAGGGACTTCTTTAGATGACAAACCTTTCCCTCACTATTAGGAAGGCTCACTCGTGGTGGAAGGTCCATGCATACTTTCTCTTTTAGGTCTCCATTAATAAAGGCAATTTTCACATCCATCTTATATAAAAGCCAAGAGAAGTGTGCCATAAGCGACAAAATCTCACGGACAAAAATCATTTTAACATTGGATCAAATGTTTCCTGATAATCAATGCCATAAGTTTGAGTACACCCTTTGGCTACCAATCGTGCCTTATATCTTTCAACAGAGCTTTCATCCTTGTGTTTAATAGTATACACTCACTTACATCTACTTGTAGATTTATCCTTGGGAAGAGAGACAAGCTCCCAAGTTTGGTTCTTTAAGAAAGAATCCACCTCCAAGTTCATAGCTTCTCTCAAATGAGGAGACTACATTGCCTCTGTAACACTGAGTAACAGAAGCAGAAGAGATAGTTGAGATATAGGCACAATAAGAGGGTGAGAGATCATCATAGGAAATGCAAATGGCAGTGGAATTGTTGGTACACTTTCTTTTTTCCTTATGGATGACAATAGGAAGATCAAGGTCATGGTTAGTGACAAGATCATCAAGAGGTTTAAGAGGAGTAGGATCAAAGTTACCTGAGTTCAGGTGTTCAGATTGTGATGGACATTCAGCATTAGAAGCCACCTTCTACCGCTGCTTGATAAAAAACTGCTGCCACAAATATACAAGAGGGGAGGAGGTGAAGGACTCAATGAATGCAACATCCTTAGAAACATATCTCCTTCCATATCTCCTTTCAGATTGAGGATCCTCACCTTCATCCACTACTACTCTTGCTCAGACATCAGGTACTGGCTCCACTTTCCTTCTTTCTACTACATCTCCATGGGTCATTGACTCAAGACCCAATTTCGTTCTTTACCTTCTTCTATACAACATGTTACCTTTGCCAATGGATGCACATCCCCAGTTTCTGGAATTGGAAGTATTAGTCCAACTCCACAACTTCCTTTATCATCTGTACTTTATGTTCCTCAATTTCCTTTTAATCTTGTATCCACGAGTAAACTGACCAAGGCACTAAATTGCTCTATCACCTTTTTTCCTTCCTGTTGTGTTTTTGATCTCAAGACAAAGAAACAGATTGGTGGAGGACTTGAGTCAGATGGTCTTTACTATCTAGAGGGTGGCTTAGGGAATACTAATCTTCAGTCATCATCTTCTGATGTGTCACCTTTCCAGCTACACTGCTGACTGGGTCATCCTTCCTTGAAGAGTTTGTGTTTTGTTTCCTTCAATACCAACCAACGTTAGCTTCTGCGATGCATGCCAGCTTAGCAAGCATCATTGGGCTACTTTTCCTCCTTGTGCCATTAGTTGTGTGTCTAGACCTTTTCAGTTAGTTCATTTAGATGTTTGGGGTCCATGTCCTATTATGTCATATTTGGGGTTCAAGTACTTTGTTACTTTTATTGATGATTTCTCTCTAGTTACTTGGTTATTTTTGTTAAAGGAAAGATCAGAGTTATTTTCTGTATTTAAATCTTACTTTATGGAAATAAAAACTCAGTTTGGCCTTAATATTTGTGTTGTTCAATCAAATAGTGCAAAGGAGTATATGTCTTCTCCCTTCACTGATTTCTATAATGAACATGGCATTTGACATCAAACTTCTTGTGTTAGTCCAGCGTTTATTAGAAGTGACTCGAGCACTTCTCATTGAGATGAATGTTCCCAAAACTTATTGAAGTGATGTGCTTAATGCTTGTTATCTTATTAATCAGACGCTCTCATCAGTTTTACATAATAAGGTCCCTCATTCTATTTTATTCCCTAATGTTCCTTTGTCTCCATTACCTCCACGCATATTTGGATGTGTTTCCTTTGTTCATCCTTTTGAACATCAGCAAAATAAGCTTGAACCCTGTGTAGTCAAGTGTGTTTTCTTGGGATTCTCCAAAACTCAAAAGGGTATAAATGCTACAATCCATCTCTTTGTTGCCACTTTATTAGTGCAGATATCACTTTCATGAATCAACTCCATATTTTCCTTCCAATGATTGTTCTCATTCTTCTATATGTGATATTCCTCTTCATGTTCTTCTTTGTAATTCTTCTCCACAGGTTTCTCAGTCTGTACATCCCAGGCCACCTATTCAACAGGTTTAGAAGAAGAGTCCATTGGCTTAAGCTTCTATATTGCCTGCTTTACCATCTATAGGTCTTGGTGGTCCCGCTACCACATCCGTTACTATAGAGAGTCCTCCCATTACTAAGCCACCTTTACATTTAGATGTTCCCATTGCTCTCCGGAAGGGTAAACGTTCATGCAATCTACACCCTATTAGCCATTTTGTTTCTTATAAGTTCTCGTCCCCCTCAGCCCATGCATTTGTTACCTCTCTTTCTACGGTTTCTCTACCTAAGTCCTTGCAAGAAGCCTTATTTGATCTTGGGTGGAGGACAGCTATGGAAGAAGAAATGCTAGCACTACATCAAAATGGTACTTGGGACTTAGTTCCCCTTCCTTTTGGTAAGAAGCCTATTGGATGTCGGTGGGTGTATGCAGTGAAATTCCAACCTAATGGTACAGTTGAAAGGCTTAAAGCTCAACTAGTTGCAAAGGGATTTACTCAAACATACGGTGTTGATTTTGATGAAACATTCTCTCCAGTTACTAAGATTACTTTAGTACATGTTATCATTTCTTTAGCTGCTATTAACCATTGGCTTCTCCTTCAGATGGATGTTAAAAATGCTTTCCTACATGGTGATTTGGTGGGAGAAGTTTACATGGAGCAACCACCTGGGTTTGTTGCTTAGGGGGAGTATCAAGGAATGGTGTGTAGGTTGAAGAAAGCCTTATATGGTCTTAAACAATCACCTCGTGCTTGGTTTGGGAAATTCAGTGTGGCAGTTGTTGAATTTGGTCTCCTTAGGTGTTAGTCTGACTATTTTGTGTTTTGCAAGACCTCTGAAGCTGGTATTATTATTCTTGTTGTTTATGTAGATGATATTGTGATTATAGGAAGTGATTCACAAGGTATTAGTAAGCTGAAATTGTTTTTATAGGACAAATTTCATAGCAAAGACCAAAGTAAACTGCATTATTTCCTTGGAATAGAAGCCATGAGGTCTATCACAGAAATTCCGTTGTCACAATGCAAGCATACGTTGGATTTACTTGAGGAGACAGATATGTTGGGGTGTAAACCAATGGCTACACCAATGGATCCAAACACTAAACTTGCATCAGATTAGGGGGAGCTAGTTGAAGATCTTGGACAATATAGGAGACTGGTTGGGAAGCTAAACTATTTGACTATTACTTGTCTGGACATTTATTTTGTTGTTGGTGTGGTAAGTCAGTTCATGAGTTCCCCCTGTGTTCCTCACCTTGAAGCAGTATTTAGAATCATAAGATATCTCAAGGGTTCACCTGGTATGGGAATTGTTTACAGAGATAATGGTCACTTGACTATATCAGGCTTTATAGGTGCACACTAGGCTGGATCATTGACTGATAGGAGATCAACGACAGGGTATTGTACTTTCCTAGGTGGAAACTTAATCTCTTGGAAAAGCAAGAAACAAAATGTTGCTGCGAAGTCAAGTGCTGAAGCTAAGTATAGGACTATGAGTCAAACAACTAGTGAGTTGGTGTGGCTTAAAAGTCTTCTTCATGAAATTGGGATACCTGTTAAACTGTCCATGCATTGACATTGTGATAATCAAGCAGCAATCCATATTGCCTAAAACCCTGTTTTTCATGAGAGGACAAAGCATATAGAGGTGGATTGCCATTTTGTTAGAGAGAAGGTTCAAAGTGGTGATATCAACACCCCTTTTGCGAAAACTGGAGACTAGTTGGCTGATTTGTGGACTAAAGTTTTATGCTGACCTCGTATTGATTTCATTACTAGCAAGCTGGGTCTATATGACATACATAGTCTTTATGGCACCAAGGCAAGGCTAGGTGACAGGGGGGCACCTTGTCGCCTAGTCGCCTAGGCGACGGATTTTTTTTTTTTTTTCAAGTAAAACCATATATCCTAGGGTAGTTCCCTAGGTTCCATAACCATCTTTCCTTAATAATTATCCATAATTTTCATAAGAGAAGTATAGATTTCATATTTTAAGTTTAGAAAATAAACATTCTATGAGAAGAAAAGGAACAAAGAAAGAAAATTCAAAAAGTATAGGGGCTGAACCCCTACTTTTGTTATAGGAAAAGAAGAAAAGAAAAGGTGGAAGAAGAAGAAGATCTGTAAGAAGAAAATGTGTTGATTAGACAAAATTTTAAGTTCTTCCCTTGCTTATTGGTTCAGGTTCTGAAATCTTTGAGGATTCACACAAGTATCAAAACTTTGATACGATACACCCCACAGTATTGTATTGTATCTTTGGTGCCCCAATACACATGTTTATAGGTGTTTTCAGGAACCCATTTTTTAAAATAATATATATATATATATTTAAAAATGAATTGAAAACCAAACAAATAAAAAAAATAGGGGGAGTATTGTTATAACTTATAAGTACTGATACACCTCTGCCGATACACAGAGGTGTATTGATACTTTGAACCATGGGTTCAATACAGCAGTTAGCAATGTTTGTGTTGATTAAACCCTAACAAATAAGAAAATAATAAAAAGAAATTAGTACATAAACACATAAAATGACTATTCTAGTTTAATAATGCCTATTTTATAATTATAATGTCAAAAAATTAAAAATATAAAAGTATTTTATAACATAATGCACAAAACTACTTGGCGACTGGGCGAGGCGAGCCTCCAAGGGTGCCTTGTAGACTAGGTGCCTGCCTTGACAACTATGATGACATGTACACACCAGCTTGAGGGGGAGTGTTGAGGGGAATGCATTTCTTGTATTTGGGGTAGTAGGATAGTTTAGTATTTCCTTTCTTTTATTAAGGCTACTCCTGTCCAGAATTTATCATAAACAGGGGTATTTTTGTAAATATCTTTTATTTACACTAATATAAGTAGGGGGCCGACTGGTTTAGAGGATTAGTGACTTCTAAACTATTCTCTAATCAGTTTTAACCTAGTTCTCTTCTCTCAGTCTTCTCCTTTCTCTCTCTTCCTCTTTGTTCTCCTTCTTCTTTTATTTTATTTCTGGTTGCTGCCTTATTACTGATTGACAGTGGTTACCACCATTTTTTCAAGTTTGAACATGATATTCTTTGATATTGCAAAAGAAATTTGGGGACATGCTAAGCAGTTGTATTTGTGGTTGGCCAAGTCCTACCCTGCAATGTGTTCTATCAAGAGCTGTCTTTTTATCAAATTCATAAATATTTAAATAATTTTTACCATTTATCTTGAATTGCCATTTTCTGTCATCATCATCATCATCATCTAAGCCTTATTCCAACTATATGGAATTGGATACATGAATCCTGTTTTTCCATCCTGTTCTGTTTAACACATGTTCCTTACTACTTTTAACTCGTGTTCCTTTTTGGTCTGCCTATAGCCCTTCTAGCCCCTTCATCTTGTAACATATCACTTCATCTTACAGGTGTTGTAGCCTGTAGGTGGTTCTCCATGCATGTGACTAAACCATCGTAGTCTACTTCCTCTCTTTTTATCACCTATTGGAGCTATTCTTAGGTTCCTTCAAAAAATACATTTCTACCACATTCATTTTTTCGGGAATGTTGTTTCTTGACTGCACAACACTTTTCCATAAGGCATAGCTCACCTTATAACTGTTTTATAGAATTTTCCTTCTGATCTAAGTGGTATTCATCTATCACATTAAGTCTTTGGATGCATTCCTCCAATTTGTCTGTCCTACTTAAATTCTATGGGCAAAATAACAGAATGGTGGAAAATGATCCATGTACCAATACTTTATAGTTGGGAGAAGGGATAGAAGATGATGGTGATAATGACATTTCTGGGGCTAACCCTTCTTGTCTTTCATGTGCATGTATAAGATCCTTTTTTTTGGCAATCTAACATGTTAGTGATGTTGTCTGACATTTTCTATTTTCAGAATGATGCAGAGATGCATAAGGTTCTTGCACACCGTAGTTCAGCATCTTTTGACCAGAATTGTCTTAAAGGTATAAGAAGAGCAACGGCAAATTCTCTCCACATACTACCAAATGAACTCAGGCATGTTGTGGAGATCCTTGGCGATGTTGGTTTGGGTATAAGAGAAAAGGTGACGACTTCACATGCCATTTGAATGTTCTAGTTTTATTATATTATTCATTATTTATACATTTCTATGATAAAGTGCTTCACTGATGATTGTCAAAGAATTTTTCTAATTCCAACTTAAAAGTGCTTTTTCTTGTTGACTTGTATTCTGAAACAGATTTCGATGACCTAGGTCATAGAACTTACCTTTTGTTTTAGCATCCAAGAAGCTAGGTTAACTTTTCTTAGCGGCCTCTACTACAATTGTAGAGGAAGTGTTGAAGATAGAAAAAGAAGGTGGAGGAGAGAGCTCGATGAAGCAGAAGTTGGAAAATACAGAGGGGATAGGGAGGAAAGATACAAGAAGTATTGAAGGAGACTGGCACAGTAAATTTATTTGATATAGGGACAACGGAGGGGCAAAGGTTCTATGAAAAGAATTATGGGGGGATGGAGGTGAGAGTTGGGTTGGAAAAGAAGGGGAAGGAAGTTAAGAAGGCAGACTCTCAGGTGGTAAGGTGGATTGAAGTTATATGAAAGAAAGAGGGTTTATTGAACTGAAAGGTGGATTGAAGTTAATAAAGATAAATAGATGGAGGAGGAAGAATATAAAAAGGGGGATTCAAGTAAAGATGAAGTTATGATCGATGGGACCCATGAAGTAGCAAAATCTATTGATTTGGAAATGGTGGTGGACATAGAAGTAAAATCTTAGGTTTGTTCTTTTTAGGGGGTGAAGAATTTGCAAGAAAGACCTTTAGAGAAATGGAAGAAGACACATGTTTTCAGGAGAATACTAAAAAAGATTTTCAGGCGGGTGGAGAGAATGGGATCCCCTGTGCAAGTATAAATGGTGATAATGAGAGAAGGATTACGCTTGGGAAGATTCACATTAGTGATAGAAAGCCTGAGGAGGCAGATCATCTGTTTGAAAAAAATGCTGTTATGGAGATAGAATGGATAGCCTCTGAGCAAAAGGAATTACAAGTTGTTGAAAAGGTTCCTACTGCAGTAAGAAGGTTGAGAAGACAGAATTTGCAAAGAATAGTTCCAGTTTTAAAGGTGTTCGCCAGATTTAAGGGGAGATTATTTGGATTGGGACTAGTAAAGAAGGTGAAAACAAAGAAAAGTTTGAAGAGAGGTAATGAAGCCTCTCTCCTCAAGGATGGGGTGATCCCGTAGTAAGTTTTGAAAGAAAGAGGGAACTAGATCTTAATTATAATTGGGGATTGGACTTGCTTAGATGGGTTGGTAATCATGAAGTTGAGTTCAAATTTTTTAATTTTTTATTATGTTCCTTGTTGCGGGAGTAGGTGCTTGTTTTTGCTGCTGGTTATTAGGGCTTGGCGGGAGAGTTTTTATTCTTTCATTTTTGGGTTTTTTTTTCTAGTGCATTGGGGCTGGGTGATGTCTCATCATCTCTCTTGTACCTTCTTCCCATTTTCTTGAATAATTTTATTTTTTTATTTATTTTCAAAATCAAAATCAAAATGTCCTCTCCCTCATGTGTACATGGGTCAAAGTTCATATAAATGAATTAAAAAGTTGTGCTTGAAGTGGAGTCCAAACCTCTACCATGCATTTCAAGAATAATCCATGTGTATAATCATCTTATATTATCACCAACAAATTCTGCTAATTAGATTTATATTTGATACTTTTAACAATATAAAACCCATATTTTTTCTTTTAAAAACTGACCTAAAAACAAAACCATTCTTTTGTTCAAGTGGTAGGTAAGAAATTTAACCATCCAAGTCAAATGGATCACCCATTAATGTTGCTAGGGCTTATGAGCTGAAATGTGAGGTTAAAAATCTCAAGCAAGGAGAGAAACAGGTCTCTGTTTATTTTTCAACCTTGAAATCCCTGCGGCATGAAATTGACCACCTTGAAACAATTGAATGGGAAAGTCACAAGGATGCACAAACTTACAGAAAGAAAGTTGAAACTAATAGAGTGTTTGAGTTCCTGGCTGGTCTGAATTCTAAATATGATATTGTGAGACAGCAGTTGTTGACAAGAAACAGTGTAACTCTATCCCAAGCCTATTCCCTAGTGTACAGTGAAGAGACTAGGAGAAAAGTTATGTTACAGCAACAGCCTTGCGAATCAGCGCTGCAGCAGTTAGACCCAAGTCTGGGGGTGATAAGGAAAGGGATATGAAGAAGGAAGCTAAGAAGGACCTAGTATGTGAACATTGCAAGAAACCTAAACACACTAAATACACTTGTTGGAAGTTGCATCCACATTTAGTTCCAGCAAAACTTAGAAACAAAAAGGGGAATGCTAATATGGTTGTTGACACTGATAGTACAACCTCATCGGCCTCAAGAGGCACTCCTTTAGACACCCTAGCTGCTGTCCAAGCTGCTCTGACACGACTGGAAAGTGAAGTTGGTAATTCAGTTCCATCACCTCAGCCATCATCAGGTAATTGGCCTCAGCTTACCATGCTTCAGCTCCAGGTAATTCAGAACATTTTTGGGTAATAGACTCAGGAGCATCTGACCATATGACTGGCTTGCCATCACTGCTTACTACCTATCATTTATCTTCCGGCAAAGACAAAGTGTCTATTGCTGATGGTTCCCTTGTTCCTATTTCTGGCAAGGGAGACATCAAGTTATCTAATGCCATTTCCTTATCTTCGGTTTTGCATGTTCTTAAACTTAGTACTAACTTGCTTTCAGTTAGTAGCATTACAAAAAACCAGACTTGTTCAATAACCTTTTTCCCTGAATGATGTGTTTTTCAGGATCTGGAGACAAGGAAGGTGATTGGGACAGGCCATGAGACAAATGGAATCTATCTACTTAGAGGGAGTTCTCATTGGGAAGATAGTGAAACTAAGAGGTTTTTTGTTTCTCAGTCTGTTGGTCAGGTTATGCTTTGGCATAATAGGATGGGTCATTTATATTTTCGGGCTTTGAAGAGTTTGTTTCCTAGTTTATTTGAATCTATCCAGATGCCTAGTTTGAAATGTGAGAGTTGTGAGCTTGAAAAACACTGTAGGACAACCTATTCATTGAGTAATAGCAGAAGCAATATTCCCTTTGAAATTGTGTATACTGATGTTTGGGGACCTTATCATATCACTACCATGGGGGGTACAAATATTTCTTGTTGTTTGTTGATGATTATACTCGTTTTTCTTGGGTCTACCTTATGCGTTCTTGAGATGAGGTTCCAGCATTGACCCGGATCTTTCATCAAATGATTTTAACCCAGTTTGGGGTCAAAATCAAAATTTTTAGATCCAATAATACGAAAGAATATTTTGCAAACCCATTAGCCTCTTATTTGCTTGACCATGTGATTATCCATTAGAGTACCCGTCCTCGTACACCACAGCAGAATGGGGTTGTTGAAAGAAAGAATAGACACATATTGGAGGTGGCCAAAAGCATTATGTTTACCTCCAATGTGCCTATACGTTTCTGGGGGGATGCTATTCTTACAACAGTATATCTCATTAATTGAATTCCTTCACGGGTTCTTGACATGAAACCTCCATTTACCCTTTTATATCCTGATAAAGAGTTGTTTACCGTTCCCCTTAAAACCTTTGGTTGTACTTGCTTTGTTCAAATTCTTGGCCCTCATCGTTCCAAATTTGATCATAAGGCCTCAAAATGTATTTTCCTTGGTTATGCACAAACTCAAAAGGAATATTGTTGCTATGAACCCACTTCTGGGAGGAGATTTGTCTCTATGGATGTCACTTTCTTTGAGGATGTACCCTATTACCCAAGGGTTTCTCCTTAGGGGGAGAGTAGTGAGGTTGGGATTAACTAATCAGAAGTTCCTTTACCTGTCCCATTAAGTGAAGAGGGGTGTAATGACCAGACATCAACTATGCAGTCAGTGTTGTTAGTCAGTATATGCACTCTCCTAGAACTACTCACCTACTTGTAGTTGAGAGGATATTGGCATATTTGAAGAGGTGTCTAGGCAGAGGAATACTATTCAAGAATAATGATCACATGAAGATAGAAGTTTACACAGATGTTGATTGTGCTAGGTGTGTTGATGACAAAAGGTTTACCTCTGGATGTTGTGCTTTTGTAGGAGGTCATCTGGTCTCTTGGAGAAGTAAGAAACAAAATGTTGTTTCTCATTCCAGTGCTGAAGCTGAATATAGGTCCATGGCAAATGGTGTGGCTGAGATTCTATGGTTGAGGTCACTATTTGAGGAGTTGGGTATTGCTTATGAAAAACCCTTAATGTTATACTGTGATAATCAGGCTGCCATTAATATAGCCCATAATCCGGTACAACATGACAGAACTAAGCATATTGAAGTGGATCGGCGTTTTATCAGAGAAAGGGTCACATATCAAGAAGTAAGTCTTCCGTACATCACCTCCGACATGCAGTTTGCAGATCTTCTCACCAAGGCTGTTTCAAGAAAGAAGTTAGAGGCTGACCTATACAAGTTAGGAATGACAAATATCTATTCCCAACTTGAGGGGGAGTGTAGAGAACACTGATGTGGACCCCACTAGTGTGGTCCACACTATGTTCGTATGACAGCAATTAGTTATGTTAGTTTTTAGTTTATTTCAGCTTTATCTTATCTTATCTTATCTTGTTATTATCTTGTTATTTCTCTTTCTCATGCCTTTCTCCTCCACAGTGGGTGCACTTCAGATGTCTCTTGTCCGAGTACCTGTTCCCTTTTTGATTTGTAGAGATTAGGGCCGAATGTTCCACAGACTGTTTAGCTAGTTTAGTTTGAGTATCAACCTGCATCTCTTTTCTTCTCACCTCTTCATTCCTCACAAGGTAGTAGACATGATGTAAGTCTGGCATTTCATCCCTTCCCAGAATTTGGGACCTTATGCTCTCATATATCGGATCTAGGCCAGCCAAAAATTTAAATGCTCTACCCTCTTCAACCCGTTTGCCATGCTTTTCCTTGTCTCTGGCATTCTCCCAATCAATAATAAGGTGATGATCTAGCTCTTCCCATAGTCCTTCTAGTGTAGCAAAATATGTTGCMACACTCATATCTCCTTG